TGTGCATAGTTATAAATGCAGGTATTGAACTATGTAAATGTACACTTTCTAGAGGTTTTGAAATTTTCAGAATAGGTGAAACCGAGGGAAGTTCGGCCCCTTTTTATTGAAGTCATTATGGACGGTATGGCATTCTTTGAAGCTAATGTATATATGTACGATTTCAAAAGAGAAATCATATGCATATCTACATTCTGTACACTTGGACCAATTGACGAAACTGACATTAATTTTTACATTACACAAATGACCTCATCGCTGCGTAATGATAAACTGCAATGACATAGCACAGGACGTACTTGGTTCATATCGGCCGTGAAAAGGGCCTTGATGTTTCGATACAGTGTATTACACAGTAACAGTAAATATACTACATTTCTAAATGTATTAAACTGTCACAGTAAATATACGATGTTGTTTTGTTATGATAATATGGAATAACCTTAAGCATGATTGGTTTAATTTTAAAGCTTCAACTATTTGTGTAAAGTATATGATAGAAATATACGACTTGTATCAATTCTACAATTTTTATTTTAAATGGAACTGTATTTTTGTATTACTTTTATTGTCATAATGTTGCTAGGAACCCAAGGGAAATGTTTACATTTTCCCGCGAAAACGTGCCGTTCTCTCTACTGCGTTGTCCCAATGAAAAAAACAGAAAACAATACCTGTATGTTTTTATTTATGCTTGAATCAGAAAATTCAAGGCACTTTAAAATATAAACATTAGGAAATAATGCGATTCATGGGATATGTTTGGAAAGGTAATTTGGTGTAAGAGCGGCCCACTCTGGAATCAGCTTAATCATGGCTAGCATTATTTTATTAATTTATTTAAAGCAAGAGCATGCATGGTACAATATAGGAAAACAGTAACAAGCGTGTCAGACACTTAAGTAAATATATCACTCACCTTAATATATACATGTATAGCTTCTTCTGAAGCTATTGACCCCCCCCCAAAAAAAAAAAAAAAAAAAAAAAAAAACAAAAAAAAAAAAAAAAAAAAAAAAAAAATCCCCAGAAAAAAACATTCTTTAATATCCTGTCATTTAGATCATGTCTAGTCGTTATCAGAATAGTAGGCGTACCTGTAATTTAGTATGTATCACGCGGGTACATAAGTGTCTGTCTATGAGTCACTTACTGAATACAGCATGGTGTAAGAATCCGGTGTTGGTGTCGCTTTGTCAAATCCAACTTCAAAACAGTATACGTTCCTCCGATACGGCTGAAATGTCATATTTAAGTAGCACCTGGATGTTTTGTTACAATTAACAAGTTGAGGAAACCAAACTTGACCTGCTGCCCAAATTTGCTTTTCTTTCTAACTTCCCCACTCTTTCATGTATGTGGTTTGCCTAGGAAGCGTCAACACATCACTTTCAGTTTCCTTTCAAAAACGTTAAACTAAACATTCTCAGAAGACAATAATATAACACTGAAACTATAAATGAAATTATAAAAAACTTCATTTGAGCTTAAATTCGATGAAACAATCGCAAAATATGTACAAGGGAATGTTGAAAATGGGAACTTCTGACAAAGCACAAATAAATATGACCAGAATGTTCCAGAGGTGTAGTCGTATCTTGCTTCATGAACACCACCACATTGTAAAACTAAATCAAGAACAATATAAAATCATATTGTCAAAGATGTAAGACGGATGTTAACGTCATAATAAAATCGTACATATTTATGGGAAAACAAAAGATAATTCCCAAATTGTATCAGACACACATAGATATTGCCCATACCTTCATCAACCTACACCTTTCGAAACCCTCTGCGGAACACTTGTCTTTCAAATAACGACATATATCATAGAAATTGTGATATTTTGAGCTAGATCTTTGATATCAAATCGCAATGTAATAAACGTTGTGTGTGATTTCTTAAAGTGATCGACTAAATATTGTTTTTTTAAACAACAATAAATTGAGATTAATATTTATCAGTATAGCAAAGGAGAAAGACAAATCTCGACTATGTGAAATGTGTTTGTGAATTGTATGTATGTCTTTGTGCGAAATCGGACCAACGATTAATCAATGCCCGAGAGAAAATGGTATCAATAGCTGTACTATTCCGTGATTGTTTAATCCATCAAGCGGGTTACCACTCACGGAGGTAAATATCATACAATAATGCCGACATGCAATTTTCGTATTTGTTAGGAGTCTCACGTAAAGTCCGTGCATTGACGTGCACACTGTAACGTTCGTGTGATTCTCAGACTGCAAAAATTTCAATAATAGACGAGGTTTAGGAGAGTAAGACTCCTAGTGACTACGGCATGGATCACGTCGACCATCACGATAGAGCATTGTGATTTAAGACCCATTACGTTAAATTACCCATGATAGATTGCAATGCTCATGCAGACTTCTGAAACGTGTCTTTACATTTCTATTTCATATGAATGATGATCAAAAGCATTGAATCCCCAGAAACAATGTGTTTAGTGTTCACACTGTCATACAAAAACCCAGAGTTTTGAAAATATTCTGAAAATATCTCACAACGTACAAAATGATCAAGTGAAGAACAACAATGAAAGTTATATGAAATATGTTTAAAAACATTTAATGGGCGTAACATGTGACTAGTGACTATGAAATAGGATCCCAGGAGAGATAATTGTATATTGGAGGACTCGAAGTAGTAACAGCGCGATGTTTACCGCTTTGATGTATGCGGTTTCCTACCTCGGGTTTGTATTAGGTAAGTTTAATATCACTGTCTTTGTGTTCATTGTTTAAATTAATTAACTTTCGGATCATATGTTGATCAGATTTTCAAACTGGATTATTTTGAAAATCGGGTATATAAATGTAAGTGGTTTTAGGTGTGCTCTATGAGAGTGATGTCTTAGAACAGGGGTACTTGGTTGTTGGATTATATATGCAGGTCAATGCAGCTATAACCAGGATACTCGCTAGCGGAGCCTGAAATTGTTTCCAAGTTCCTAGTTCCGAGGTCCGTTTAAGAAATAAGCAACTAGAAACCAGAACCTAGTTCCGTTTAAGAAAAACGGAACAAGGAACCATATCCTAATTCCATTTAAAAACTGAAATAACACCATCAATGGACCAAAAAAAAAACTTGTCCCTTTTCAGAAATACATAAGAACCAACCTCTTATATTGTTTATACAGACTGTATTACTTTTTTTTCTGAAACGAAACAGAGAACTAGACCCCATTTCCGTATTATATATGTTTTTGTAATTATTTCCTTCTCTAACTCGCAAAACGCAAATTGAAGACGCATACAAATATCGGAATCCAGTGCAGAAATATAACCCACAACCTTTCAGACAATCATTGAGACTACCATGGACTTGGACGGAACTGAAATCCAAACTCCACACACGTTATTTGCTTAAAGGGAACTGGGGTCTAATTGCCGATTCCGGTTTTTTTTCTAAAACGGTACTAGGAACTAGGAACACGATACAAACATCAGACCTCACTTCCTAGAGAAGATATTGACAAAGTGAATGTGCAAGTGCTACAAACATGAATAGCGATTGCCGTTCAACTACATGCAGCTATATGGCATGGGACCCAACAACACATATTTTCCTAGTTGTTTTCAATGTTCTGGAATTATACTCATTCAGCGCTCGCTGTACCCATGGAAACTAAATCCTTTAAGTTTACATCACAACAGTTGGCGTTGTCTCGTTAGTACTAAGCTGATATATATTGGACTGGTAATTAATACACGCTTTTCATTTTGAAACTTCTGTCTTATATTTCATTAAATGTTTCATGTGGTTAGGGAAAAAGATTTGGAAAATCTGAAACAAAACTATCCCAACCTCAAATAGTATACCATACTAGGAAGTTTGGAAGATTTCTAGTCAATAAATTCGACCCAGCACATCGTTATTTCGATTGTATGTATAAATACCACTTGAACAATTGTAAAGATGAGAAAATGATGCACGTACCGTATATTTCACTTGCATGCATGTCAAAACCTGCTGCAGACTTGATTTTTTATAACATATACGGTAGCGTGCTTAGAGATATGCTTGTTTTCTATACAGAAACATTTAATATCCGAATCACAGCAAATTCCGCATTATTGGTCGACTAATTTCCGGTGCGTGTTTAAAGAAAAAGTAAGTGTGCAAAAATCACAATGGGACTTAAAATCGATGACACTTCTTCCACATATGATTAAAGAACGGATTTACACGGCAACCCTTCACACAAGTACACCGATTTTATAAAAAAAAAAAAAACTCTTCCTGTCAGGTAAACCTACACCGCTTTATTGCTTTCACACCCAATGTAGAACAAATCCAAAAACAATTGGATACAATAAAAGAGAATTATTTGATTTGTTTTTCTAAAAATATTTTCTTATTTTTTTAAGGAATTGTACGACATTGCAATTGATACCCGGGAATCGGGATTCACTGCCATTATTATGTTACAAAATGGTGTAGCATATCGAGTTTATTTGAATAACTGTTTGTCATGTAAAAAAAACATATGAACATAGTTTGAAATAATTATATGTGTATGTATATCTACATTTAGTCCATGATAAAATGTAAAATAAAACGTCTGAAATTTAGAAAATAACTGGCCAAGTTGGTATAGTTCATCACGAAGTTTCAGGGGTGAATAAGTTAATGTTGTGTCCCGGCACTTCGAACTCACAAAAAAATGTCATGATTTCAGAGAATCTTTAGCCTCGGGTATTGTTGATGCTCTTCTGCATAAGAATACCTTAGACGTTGCCATGTTGTGGAAAAGATGTTTAAAAGCGGCAAACGGGCTTTTGTTATTATTGTAGAACTGAAATAGCACGCTATGGCCCGAGAGAAACCTTCATTTAAATCGCCGCTGTAACTTTGCATTTTTTAAATAACAGGAACTGTTGGCAGACAATATTTGTTACATTAGTACGCTATCTTTTAACAATAAGTGTAAAGCTAGATAAAACAAAAATGCATTTTTGTTTCAGCAAACAGTAACACCATTCTGTTTACGTCTTATTTTGTGTCACGTGACCATGCAAAATTCTGCTGCAACAAATATGGCATGTCCTTGATGAAGATTTCTACCCAGGCGGATAACGATGTCGTCGAATCCTTTCTTCGAACATTACCTGGGTATTTTTAATATTTTCAAAAAATAGTTTTAATTAGATATGAAATAGACCGATTAATATCATGAAAACGCAGGCAGATGAAACCTTGCACACTTCAAGAATGATTTTAAAATTCACCTGTTTACGACTTTTTAATATTACTACACTTTATATTCATATAAGGAACAATTATTTGCATTGTGATCTTATAGTGTAAATTTAATTATCTATATGAACAATGTAATGATGTAGGCTTGTCTCCCTCTCTAGAATGATTGTCACACATACCCTGTAAAGCGCCCAACAGTGATTCTATAAATTATATCGGTTGTTATATGTATATGGTACAGTGTGTGCGTTTGGTATTAATTAATTTGCTTGTATGATCTTTGTTGATTTAAATGACTTTGCATATACAATGTAACTGTCAATAGCGAATAATAAGGAAAACACATGCAGATACATATGTATATGCATATCATGTGACGTTTAAATTTACATTTCAGAAGAAAGTGTATTTAAAAAACGTTTGAAACATCTAGATTACATCAGAAACGATAACATATATCTGCATTTGTAAACGTTTATACTTATTAGAACGTAATGAATTCCTACAATACTACGAGCTTCATAAAAACAATTACATTGATATACAACCTTGAACAATTAAGATTTGTTTGCTTCTTTTTTTCAATTTCAGTTTTCATTTTTAATTCTGTCGTGTTCTGTTGAAATTAAGATTCAAATGTGTTTCTTTAATTCATACCTTTTTTTTTTTTTTTTTTTAATTGTAAATTTAATCATGCAAAAACAGTGTAATGTTTCATAACTGTTATTGAGATTTTTGCTGGGGAAAAGCGGACAGAAAATGTCTATATTTAGCTAGACAAGATAATCTTACTTTACTCGTGAGCGTAAGAAACGACAGATCTGAGTACAAATTGCAATTCGGACTCATGAGCAACATGACCAAGTCTTGAATAATCACTACGCACTAATGATTCCTCCGTGTTTATATACTTCTAAGCTATACTACACTTTAGAAACTACTTGACAGGTAGTTATTTTTTAATAATATCAAACACTCAAAACTTCTAAATGCGTCAAAAAAGTCTTGATTGAACATCATAGTTATACAAAAAAGTCTAGTACATTGTGCACAAAGTAGTTTAGCGAATTCGTTTTATCAGATTATATCCCTGCATACGTGGTGATACGAGTTTAAATATAGCTAGCATGCAATATATCATCCTCGCTCTCTGCACCCCTTGAATATGTCAAAGCAAAATCGAAGGTCTAGTTTATACCACCTTGTGGATGAGACAGGAAGACGAGTGTCATCCTTTGATGTACATCCAACGAATCTAGCAGCCGCGTAACGGTAACATTGACTGGCCTAAAAGCCGTGTGTAGCTCCCCTGAAATCTTCAAAGGACAGGTATCAGCTAAGCACTTGGTCGGGGTTTGTTGCTACCTGAGACCAATCAGATAGCTAGCCGCGTGCCTTCGATTTTACTATGTCTTATTGTAGGGGTGCAGAGGGTGAGCGTAACCAATGGAGTATCGAGGGTGACAATACATGTGTCTTATCAATTTCTAGTGTTTCCGAGATGTGGATTGGTGCATTTCAAGATCCCATGTCCACGAGTCCAGACGCCTTTATCTGGCCCGATGGAGAAACCCCCAGCTGGCTAAACTGGGACAGTGATACGTTGGATATCATTGGTTCCAATTCTACAACCAATGAAACTCTGTGTATCAAAGCCAAGTTGGAGGAGCATCCTGGAATGTTTTGGGTCATTTCGCCTTGTGAAGCCCTTCTGATGTATGGCTGTCAGGTTGGACGTAAGTTGGACTTAAAAATATTCATCTCGAGCAGCTTGAAATTTTGGTCTTTATAGATATGTCCTGGTCGTGATTCGTTAATGTCTTAAGAAATCATGATTTCATTTCTTTAATTTTACAATAAGGGTGATAAACAGACACTCATATTTAATGGTAGGAGAAACTATGTCTATATTCTTCACAGTCTAATTAAAATCAGACTTTCGCATCCCTCTCGTTTGAAGTTCTGTCGCATGGAAGCGACATACAAAGAATCAATTTTAATAGGATTGCATTATTTATCTTGTTTGTGACGTCATCAATAGTGAATGTGTGCGGAGCTTATGCCAATTTCAGGCTGTTACTCCTATTGAACCGATGTCACGTTAACATATGTAAGTATTAGAAATGAAATGTAAGTCCGCTAATCAGACTAATGAATAAGATAAGTATGAATCATACACAGAAAAATGACTGTATGGCGATGGCATAGCTTATACAGTATCCGAACGCCATCAGGTAAAAAAAAGTCAATGACGACTAATGATACTACAATTAGAATCCATTAAACGCATCGTTTTTTTTCCTTCTCCAGTTAATGTGTCCGTTATACCCAATACCCTGACCGACGCTACTTGTCCGAAATTGGTCAAACTGACCGGAAGAGACATCAATAGGACTAATACAGGTAGGTGTTTTAATACAGTTCAACCTAGATGCTGTAAACTACAATTAAAAAACTTGAAAGAAATCAAACCATTCCGTGAAAAAAATGTCATATACAATCTCTCATGTGCCATAAGATAGAGAGCACAGCTCCCCAGCAATCAGATCACTACGCCCTATTTCGTTGCATGCTCGAAAGGGGGTTCGCAATCCTGTAATGTAGGCGTATGGGTACTGCTCTATTAGAGCTTTTTAGAGGAAGATTCCGTAATAAGCAGACTTGATATAAATCCGGAACAAAATGAATCATATATCAAAACTTTCTCACTTAAGTCAAATAATGACTCTAAATAAGCATATTACAAATGTCTGAAATGTTTATGTGTCCTGTGACTCATATCAGTAGGTCGGTAACATATGTGTCAGTAGGTCTATAGAATATGTGTAGTTCAGACATTTGTAACGAACCCCTGTTGATCAGTATTAATAATAATCATATACAGCATTTATATAGCGCCTTATATAATTTGTAAAATTACTCTTAGGCGCTTTACAACATATGGATAATAGTAATGATTATAACTGTGAAAACAAACAACAAAGGCTTGCAGTCACTTTCATACATTTAACAAGCAATATGCACATAATTGAACAAATAAAAGGGTTGTATTTACATGACGTCTTTGCAAAGATTCTAAAATGCAGACGTGAAGAGGTGAGTTTTTATGTCCCTCTTGAACTTGGCCAGGGTATTCGACTTCCTAATAGCAGATGGTAAGCTATTCCACAACGTAGCCGAAACCCTCTGCAGACGACTAGTTAGTTTGTCAGATATACCACAGAGCAGGACGTTACCATAATCCAACCGAGAGGTAACAAGTGAATGCACCAAAATCTTGCATGCAACTTCAGTAATAAACTGCCGAATACAGCCGATGTTCCTGATCTGGTAGTAACAGGATTTGGCAATAGCGTTCACTTGTTTCTCCATGTTCAGAGAACTGTCAAAGTATACCCCTAGGTTTTTAACAGCTGGAACAGTCTCAATAGTTCTGGCACCAACCTTGAGCTGGATAGTCATTGTTTGCTGACACTTTGGGGAAAAGACAATTAGTTCCGTCTTTTCCTGATTAAGTTTAAGCATGTTGGCGTTCATCCAGATACTGATATATGTCAGACAAGCTTCCAGACTTTCTGAGACTGTATTCCAACTGTCCTGTGGTTACAACCTGTGGTGCTGTGTAACAGACGATATTTCTGATAAATTGCATGAGTGTTAAAATTGTTTCGATTGCCGGCATTGTTGATTTCAACCGATTTGCATTTTTTGTACGATATTACAGACCTTGGTCTTGTTTTTGTTTTAATAACAGGTTATTTTTTTATATTTTATTTAGCACATACATTTACAATTGCATTGTCAAGTCCCACAATGCACAGCGATATTTCGACAGCCGTCATGTGTATTTACATGGAATATTGTAGTTCCGGTCAGTGTTGTATTAATACGCTAAGAATTGTGTATCGTGCTGCATGGTAATTAAAGTCCCATCAACGATACAGCTTTCAAAGAGGCTATATAGTGACAATGCCATGCAAATATTAATATTTAAGCATTGAACTGTTTTTGTATGGTATTTATGATCTATTTGAATGACACAGCTTTGCAAGCAAACAACATAATGCGCGCTAGCGCATTATGATTTGTTTGCTTGCAAAGCTGTAGCGCATTATGTTGTTTGCTTGCAAAGCTGTGTCATTCAAATAGATCATAAATACCATACAAAAACAGTTAAATACTTATATTTACTTTTTCTCTGCCTCTTATGTTCTTTTTTAACTTATGATTTATATTTAAAATTAAAAATGCCCGCCTTATCGACAGTCCACACAATTTCGTTCAATAGTTGGAACAGCGTATTCCACAATTCAGTATCAATACAATTGCGTATGATATGTCTATAGGATGATTTAAGTTTATCAATAGAACTCTGAGCTGAAAGTTAGATTTGAAATTGTTTCGATTTTTCCCCGGAACAACTTTCGTGCATGGACAAATACAGTGAACACCGTAAATCCGACCTTGCCCTCCACGAGGGAGTTATTTTTGGAAGTTAATTCGAACTTTTCTCTTTTTTTCTGTTAGTAATTTTACCAAAAAATAAGTTGTGTTGTAATAGAGCATTTACCAAAGTGCCCAAAAATATGTTCTATGTCGAAACTGAACAATAATGTTATAGGCAAAATAGGTGAGACTAGACATAAAATAATTAGCCACAAGGACAAGATCAAAATGATAATTTGCCACCTAATTGGCCTGGGACTAGAAAGCAGTGATTGGCACACACACAAGTAAAGATACATGTGCCTTCAAAACGGAGGATGTACGGGTTGGAGGTGGGCGATCAAAATTAAACAAAACTGTCTGAGCATAACCCACCTGATGTTATTGAAATGGCGATGTATAGCATGTGACTTGTTGTTTTGAGTTAAGTCACGCGACTCACTCGTGGGGAGCCTAAGGGGGATTTCCGAAATCGGTACAATACCCAATCGTCACCTCCAACCAACACAGTTAAAAACAACGTCATGAATTAACAGACCAATGCAATATCAACAGAGACTATACATTACTATATATTACTATATATACATGGGCGGATTGGCCGAGTTGTTAACACTCCGGCTTTCCAAGCAGGCGGTCGGGATTCGATCCCCGAAGTCGTCGCACGCATGGAATATTCAGAGAAAGTGTTTTTCTCCTGCCCACACAACTCTAAAAACCGAGGTGGAGTATAAAATGGTCTGGGGTGGGTGTTGCGGTATATGTGCTGTGGCATTCAAGTGAGGTGGCACTATGCATGATGCAGCTTGAAGTACGGTCCCAATACAAACAGAACACAATACATCTCCAGCACACACGCAGGCATTCACACATAGTGAGATATTAGCCAGGTGGTATAGGACTAGTAGTTAGCGACTGATAAGGCAGCTCCTGCGGGTATTGATTAGTGTATATGCTAATTGTATTCGTTGTATTAAATTGTATATCTATGTACTGTAAAACGCTTTAGAGTGGCTTATGTTACATGTAGCTAGATAGGGCGCTTTATCAAATGTTGTATATTTATATTTACAATACCCGGATCTAACCCGGACAGTGCTAGGAACTGCTCCTTTTTAATCTGTCTTACTTTCCTACTTGTCGGTCATTTTACGATTCGTTAACGACATCCATTCCCGGAGTCATCTGACTCGTTTATGATCTAACATTTGACTGCACGTTAACAAAAACTAACCCATATTTCAATTGATATCCATTCTCCCATTAGCGCTGTTTTGTTACGTAATGTAAAGTCTACTTTCGATTCATTCACAGTCCATAACTACGGTTACTTCGACGTTGATGACCAAATACACACCATGGGTACCCAGGTCGGCTCCAAGTTGCTCCAGAGCGTCACCCATGCCTCCACAAACTGCGCCCTCCACTGTCTGGATTCGGTCCTGTGCGCCGAGGCAATTGTGATTGCAGACCAACTCTGTATCATGTACTCCGCAGTTTGACAGCTTGTCCTTTCACGCTTACTACGGCGACTGTTAGGAATGTAGAATCGTGTGCTGTTTTTGCTTTTCACGCCACATCAATTTGAACTCGTAATTTGCTGTAGTAGTACCACGATATATTCTTCAATTATATCAGACTAATGTTCATGGTCAGGGTTTGAAATATTTAAATAAAGTTGTGTTTATTGTGTATGTACCACGCTGGTCTATTAAAACGAACTGGCAGGGGAAAACGTTATGACTGTTACAATGATATGTATTGAGAAAAGCAACATCGAGAGACATGTGCGAAATAAAGCGTTTATCACCTAGATAAACTGTCCATACGAATGGTCAGTATGGTCACAGGGAACGTTCATATGTAAATAACTCCAAATTTGATTTTGCCCTTTGTTACAGGTTTTGTGATTGGTTAGAAGTAGTACATGTGACCCAAAAAACAGCGTTTGATATTAGTATGAACGGCTGTTTTTTATTTCATGGGACTACTTTGAAATCCAAATCCGCTTTTTTCAGTAAGCAATTTGATTGTCGTTCGAGTTGTCTCCCATTGCCTAAAATAAACTCGCCGTGAAAAAAATGCAAGGTCTACTGTTTATTATTATTATTTTATTATTGTATCTTAGACTTATTGTTTATCTTCAGTAGACCTATCTTAGGTTTTAAAAATGAATACTTTTAAACTACGGTTGACCATATTTACAACAGTGACACGTTCTGTCGTCTGACGAACCGACAATATCAATCTGACAAAGCTCAGTGTCAATATTTCGATTTCACGTATGTGGGTCCGCACAGTGATAAAAAAGTGACAATATAAGGAATTAATCTGTATGTACTTACACATAAAATGTATTAGCCGTGAATTTCCACGAACATGACGACAGGGCATGCGCATACGCTGCACATAGCGGGGCCGAGATTACAAACAACCGAACCCAGAGGGACGCGGGGTTTTACTTACGACGCATAATGTTCCTCCCATTACATACAAATTAAAGTGATCCATGAAACAAAAAACACGTGACGAGTCTAGCTCATGCACTTCCCGTCATAATAAACACCGCTTTCCTCAAACCGGGTGGCAACCCCGACCTTTTCGTTCTCCAGAACCATCATCCCTCGAATTCGCCATTGCTAACTTTCTCTTTGTAGAATCGCCTAAATTAACATTCGTAAATTAAACCACTGTTTCTTCAATATTTTCTCCAGCAAGGTCACTCAAGCCGGATGAAGTGGCCTTGAGAAAATTTTCAAATGAAATAGTTTCTAGATCTCCGAAATGACGTTGCGATGTTAAGTCATATTACTACACTAAATTTACGAATGAATGAAAACAGTTCGTAATTTAAAGGCTGTTTTTGGTTTGACTTTCCATTGATGGTGATTTGGAATTATAGGGTACGGCCACTCATGTGGTGTGTAAGTAAAGTTTTCCGCGTTCATACTTGCATGAACACTGGAAAAATGCAGATTGAATCACTATATAGTTCTCTATAACATTTGTTGTCAGTACGCCGATTTATCAATGCGCTTATCTGTAAAATTTAAAAAAAAATATCAATTCAAAACAAGATTGAAACGATTATTTGTTTAGGTACATCGTTTAGCTCAAGCAATTACTGACGCGCTTACATTTACGTGTTGATTACTTCGTCAGTTTTCCAACTTTTGGTGATTTGGATATAGATGACATAACGTTACCCCATGGTCAGTTCGTTCTGATCGGATCATGTGCTTATACGTACACGTACATGTACATGTATATACTGTGTGGAATATTAAAGTGTTCATCGTCCGAAACAATTAAAATATTGATTTTGCGACGAATCTCGCAGCGTTGTTAAGTGTGTATTAATGTTGGTCGAGTCTGATAAAATGTACAGTTTACGCTTTATAAAATGTATACTGCTATTTCCCCCAACAGATAATTGCCTGATTCTTAATTGAGTTTATAGATATCTTTTTTTTTTTCAATAACTGGAAACGATTTGTTTTAATTGTTGTCTGGGGTTGTAATGACAATTTTCTAGCCAAAATACATTTTTTTCACTGACAAGAAATGTCATGTTTTTTTTCTGTTAACTACAAGTTTAATTTACAATTTTGATGTTTGTTCTGTATATGAATTTACCAAATGAAAACAACCGCCATTAGACCATGAATACAACGATGCTCGTGCAACCGGTCAGCTGATTTCACACACAGTGACAAATCATATTACTTCGCATAGTACCGTTTTTGAGAAGAGTTTTTCCCCTTCTCCGACAAAACCATTGAACTTTTTTTATTTATTTTTAATGAATTACAAAAATATATTTATAACATTGACATAATTAATACTGACTTCCGACTCGCAATCGGTTCCTCGTGGTCACGAACTTTCTAACACCCAAACGTCCGGCTGGGTAATCCCCGTGACATCAACTTGCGCATTAAATCCAGAGAACTTTGTAATGACACAGGGCACTTCATCCAATCTGATTAGAATCATCTGTTACATGGCTCCGCCTGAACATCTGAATGTGTTGCGGTCAGGGTCACGTTCAAGTGACCTTTAGATGAACCAATCAGAGGCGCGCTGGCAAAAGTTTGCCAGAGAACCGGAATATCATGGTTGATAGATAATTAGCGAGGGGTATCGAACAGACTAATTTTTCAAAACAAATATGGCGGCGGGAACTTACGTTTCTACGACGCCAAGGAAAACGGACCAATTGGGTAATAATTGCGTAGGCAACACCGCCATACACTCTTTCTTCTCTAATAAAGCTTTGAATATGTTTTTTTCTGTTCCGGTTTCAGATTATTCAATCTCAAATAACTTCAGAACTTTTGCATCATTCTCATCAATGTCCGCCATATTTGTTTCAACTCCGAGCGCCCTTTTGAAAGAGGGTTTCTGATTGGTCAAAATGTAATGAGTATTTATAAATATAAAGGTCACCTGAACGTGACACTGACCGCGGCACACTCAGATGTTCAGGTGTAGTACGAAGTTAACGAAGCCATGTAACATATGATTTTAATCAGATTGCACTTCATCCATCAATTTATCATCCGTTTCATCTGCATGTTATTTTAGCAAACCGCATATCTAACGGCTGTACAAATGAGCTATAGATGCCTACTGCCGACAGGTGTCCTGGATGGTTACTATGGTGACCGATTATTTGAAATAGTGCGGACATTAACTTTCTAAAATATATAATATGCGATGTTTAATGCAAAAAACATCAAATAAGATCACCTTTTCTTCTAGAAATATATTTTTCCGTTTCAACAACATCAGATGTTCGGTGGAAGTTGAACATTTGTAGTTTGTGTGTAGTCTGGAGTTCTGGTTGTTCCTTTTTCTAGTTTTCCTTTTCGATACTAATAACAAAAATAATAAACTTACAAAAAGTGTGGTAACTTTGTTTATTGTAGTTCACCGTAACGTAAATATATGAATTGAATGGATTATTTTTCATGTATATTTTTCATGTACATTGCATCAGTAGCTGATCTACATATATTCTGGGGAACGCTAACGTGCTCCACAGGATATGTAGATCAGCTACTTCTATTCATTGCCGCAATGTACATGAAAAAATCCATCCAATGCCTATTTGAACCTCTTTCTAGATTTCTGTCAAAATAAATAATTGATAAAGGGTATACTGCTGTGGATGTTATCCAGTGACACAGTGCTACATATGCATGCTGGTATAGATGGTTATGGGGTAATCTAAATGACACTCGAACGTGGAATACGGTGAAGGCTCAAGGGATATCGTTATAGGTAACCTGGCATTTTCTTGGAAAACAAATCTTCCTTTATCCCTTAATAACATAACGTAAGAAGCGATTTAATTGAGGCCGTTTTTGCAAAATCGGGGGTTGTCGTCTGCTTGGGGACATTGAAGAAACCCAAATTTACGCTTAAGCTATGTTCCATTAACTTCCCTTTCTGACTTCGATCGTCCTTCCTTTAGACAGTGTCTTCTTTTGCACCCGTCTTAATTTTACCCTATTTGCTGCGAGAACGTTTAATCACATACAAACAAACAGTACTCGACTACACAAATGGAACAACAAACCTATATTATTACACCTAAAGCATTTTGATAGCGACGAAACGAAAAATTACAATAGAAAAATTAATTTAGATCATTTTTGTATATATTTTATTACGCATTGTGTTCAGTATTACTCCTCTGTATATGGGGTCACGAAGAATGTAAAATTGTTGGATTTCAATAAACATAATTAATTCAGTGCTCATGTGATAACTTTGTTTTTATTTAGATGATTCCTGTAATTAAATAAAACAGTTATTTACAAAAAAAAACATGTATAGTGTACAGCACAACTTGCGTGAATCATTGTCAAAAATAAATAAATAAAATTCTTAACAGAATAACGGTGAATACTCAACTGCGAACCACGACTTACGTTACCTTTGGCCTCGCTTTAGTTTCGTCCTACTTTTCCACTACTCGAGAATTCTCAGCACTTTCCGTAAACGAAAACATATGTTCTCGCTTATGGAAAGTGCCGACAGTTCCCGATCGCTCTTTCAACTAACGCTATTCTAACCATTCCGGAACCCAAAATATCATGATAAATAAAATTTAGCTTTTAAGTATGCGTATCGTTGCAGCCCTAATATATGAGTTCCAAGATCAATGGAATTTTTTAATCGTGAATGTTAAATAAAAGCATTTAAAGTAAAAATTGAAATAACAGCAACAGCGAAATTCACCAGTCATACGGAATACAATTATATTTTTCAATGTGGAGTTCTCGTGGACAATAATTGTTAACGATCAAATACAACAAATGGCAATCACTGTAAATGATTGTATTCTATTTTTAGATATCAAGTTTATCTAATTATATCTCCCTTTTACAACAAAACTAAATTCTGCAAAGTGTGCTTAAGTGATGATAAAAGAACTAAAGAATTTCTTTAATGATCCATAAAATATCGATATGAAAGTAAGGATTCATGTTCATATTTTAAACACGCATGGAATATAATGTGGCACAGTTCCATTCGAGAATGTAATGCTCAGTACTTTATCTTCAATATATGTTTGAACGCAACCTTGTTTCATACCACCAGACATGTTTAAAATATGCATTTTAATCATAAAAACATTGTGTATAATATTTACGCTTAAAACTATAGATACAGTTCTGGTTTTGCAACGATTTTTACGGAATGTAGAAATAAGATAATATTCTCTATAGTTGCTTATCTCAACAGGCAACACACTTTAATCGGTAATCATCGGGAATTTCCGCCTTATTTTAATTTACCGTTATGGCATAATTGATTCCGGAATGCTTAAACCTGTAGGGATCAGAGGAACGCTCATTCATGTCCAGAGATGCAAGACGAGGGCATTCTACAGTACCCTTCGGACTTCCAAATTATGGAGAAAAAAATATATATTTGAAAACCCCTCGGATAAAGTTTCCTTGTCATTTATCTATGAACATGAAACGGTCTTTGCTCAGGAAATATGATAATAATGTGCAAAATTTCAAATTATTGTTTTTTGCAATTGTATGGTTTAAAATAATTAAAAAAAAAAGTTTTCGCTAGTCATCCAAACCACTAATTGTAACGTTTGTATTTATAGAACCTAACATGTGATATTATATATTAAAAAACCTGTTTATACCGAACCCTATGCAAACCAAAAACCTGTAAAATCCGGACCTTTACTCATGTAATACCACAGTACATAGTATTGTGATCATATGATTTTTCAAAACTTAAATGTTGAATAAACCAGAACTTTTATGAGATAAATACTTTGCTCCTTCTAAATTGGGTTGTACAGCATCGATGCGTCACACGCCACACGCGCATGTGGTTAGGGTATTAGGGACTATACAAATAATATAGACTAGTATAAATTATCATTGTGAAATTTAAATAAATAAATCATTCAATTCTCAAAGTTTCTTGTCATAATATTATTTTTAGAAATTCCCATTGGAGATCATTACAAAAGAGTTTGATACGTCAAGCCGTTAATTAAAAGAATAAAGAATGATGAAACGGGTGTTCGGGGCACTGTTGTCAGACTCTAGTACGCAGTATATATATAATATCACGAACCCATATGCCTGTGGTAACACGTTACACGTACAAACCGTTGACGTATTGTATACATGTGTGTTATACTAATGCCATGGATGACGAGCGTCTAAAACAGAAATAGAATGTAATGTACATGTATATTTGCTGTCTATGATATTACATCGATACATATAAGAGACCTAACGTGAAACCAAATTTAACCAACAGTTGACTTACAAGAGCGTTCTCGAAAACCCTTAATTATTTCCTGAACCCAACATATTACTAGTTTATCTGTGACGCTCTACATAAACACTACCAAGGGAGATAACCATGTCACACTTCGAATGTATACACATGAAGTTACGTTCGTAAGAGGATATCATAACAGTACTGTCAGTCCTCATTTCTCCCACAAAACACTACTGTACGTAAAGTGTATCTGTTGAAAAACATGTGTACTTACTATGCAGTTCAAAGAAAATTGTATGTTGTGCACAATATGTAAATAATATATCAGAACCATTGAACGAAGGGAGATAAATCTCGTTATTCGTCCGGTGCCTTCTGTAAGAATCCAGTTAGAGTGTCATTCCGTAAGTTCAGTTCTTTCACATCTTCGATAAGATTTTTCAACTCCCTCTGTCGGATTTCGTTTTGTTTGTAAGTCTTACGCAACGGGTTTAACTGGGGGTCAAACTCTAACCGAGTCCGTTCGGGAGTAGCTGTGTTGAATACAATCGCTGGCATGTCAACAACGATCTGTCTCTTGCTTGAAGAGGGTGGTGTGTCGCCTGAATAATCCGAGTCGTAATTATGACTTTCGGAATAGTACTTCCGGTCACGTCGTGGTGTGCGCCTGGGATTTGTTCTGTGTCTCGATTTGTCGAGTCTCTTCAAAATTGATCTGCCCTCTACGGCGTTCACTCGTTTTCTACTATCTCTCCCGTCGGATCTCCGACTGCTCTTTACGGATTCTCCATAAAAAGACAGATCGTCTTCATTCGGAACTACGGGTGTGTTCGTGGGGAGATAGTAAATGCAGTAATAGTCCTTAAGTTGCTCCAAACTCATTTTGTCTTGGTCCATTGTGTCAGAATGTTGAAAACTAGGCGGTAGGATATCATCGTAGTCGTTGTCGTCGTCTGGTTTTATTAAACCTTTGAGACGGCCCCCAGTTTTGAGTGTACCTTTATATATTTGACCGGGTCGTTCTAGAGAAGGGTATGGGTATAATTTAGGGGACGTAGATTTCTTTTGTAACGGAGAGGTTTCGAGAACCAATTGTTTGTTAGAGGTTGTTGACTTTCGTCCGATGTTTGGAATGCTAGACGTAGGCTGGATTAACCTCTGCAAGTTCAGTTTGAAGCTATCATCTGGAGTTCGACCCGGAAGTGACGACGTAGACAATAATGGACTACGAGGGGATTTGAAAAACGCCTGTGGCTCCATTATTTGCTTTCCCTCGAGGGACATTATCCTTGGCGGACTACGCCTGGGCCGGGTCCGTTTGAACTGTTCAACAGTTGTCAGAAGCGCCTTACGTGGCGGAACATCGAATCCAAACCCATCCGTGTCACGTGGTCGCATTGTGGTCCGGTTCTCTTTGCCGTTTTGCCGCTGTTTGAGCCGCTCGAGAGCGTTTGATAGATTCTCTTGTTCCTGGTTGATAAGCTCGTCCCTGAGCGAGGACAAACGTTTGAGATAATCCGCGTGATGTTGGTACGATGTCCGACCGTCCTCGAACCACGGCAGGCTCCTCGCACGACGGGGATCGATACTGGTTCTCTCCATCAACCTGTGGACAACAAAGAGAAATGGGGTCAGTTACACATCACATAAATACGCATCGCTAACAGGTACACAACAATGATTTAATAACAAGTAAACGAGACACATATCATACATGAAAAAAACTAAAAACAGTATAAATGTATGTGATTTGTGTAAGAGTTAGCTCCCCTTAAACCTGGATCATATTTGAGTAGTATCAATATACACTGTTTATGTAGTCAATTTAAAAACAAACTTAATCAGTCAGCATATTGTATTCAATGCTGCACTGTTCGTACTGAGAAACTTTTCTGAAACTGATATTTTCAAATTAGGTACAGTACGTACAGTGTATGATATGTCTTCAATATGTTTGCTTTTGTGGCGGAGAAACACAGTAATAACCGACTTACAATTATCTAGACCAATTACATAATTGTTTCTCAAACAGGAAGTATCATTATGTGAAAAATATTTTATACATGATACAATATAGATATACCAAAATCTTAGTAAATCGAAGTGACAATACTGCTTCATGTTCATGTTTAAAAGAAGACACTCACAGAAACACCATTTTAGCTACAACGTTGTTAATATCGAGGACAGAAAATAATGGAAACATAAGGATTGAGGAAGACACTTCGAGAACAAGTGAAAACATTAAATGAGGAAGAGATGAAGATAATTTTGTTCAGTTCATAATTAAACGTTGATTTCGTTTGTATTCGGGACTGTTTTTTTATAAAACTTCTTTGATCGTATAAGAAATTCGTGAAAATTGAACATATATGCAGTACGCTTCACTGCACTATTTGCACAGTATACAAAGTATGAAACACAGAAATATTAAACAGGTTAATTTTCACAGCAAATACAAAATGATAATAATTATAGGTTCTTATATACCGCGTTATCTCAACCTAGTCGGTAGGTCGTCTCAAATCGGTTCACACATTATTATCCATGGTTATAGGGCCTTTGCAACCAGCCAACATCTTTCTCAACTCCCTCGGTGGGCAAACAGACGGTGCTGCCTTTTCGACGCTTACAGCTAGCATGAGACGATTCTAGCACTGCCCAACCACGTACTCATTTGCAGCTGAGTAGGCTGGAACAAGCGGAATAAAGTATCTTGTTCAAAGATTCAACACAATACCGTGACGTAACTCGAACCCGCAACCCTTCAGGCACGAGCCCGGCATCCTACCACAACTCAAAATCCTCACACATGTATATATATATGTGTAAGTTATATCCCTTTGTACTATGTAGTACAGTATACACAGCAACTCTGTTATTGGATTTATATTCAACATATTCTGTAGCAAACGCAGCAAAATCGTCATACTTAGATGTAGACAGTATTGCATCATATGCAATCCCCTCCCCCCCCNAATTGACTCATGATCTCATTATACAATGTGCACTTTCCCTGGTTATGTCAATATTTATGGATACATGAACAAAAACAATACAAAAAAATACACGAGTTGAACACTTGAACGCTGACAACAAGTGTTAAATATATATTACCTGAAACGCTATAAGTGTAATAAATTATTAAGCACTCTGATTGATAGAAAATGTAATTATACTTGTCACACCACCAGACTCAGACTTTTATACAGTGTAATAACACCATCATAAACTCAGGCTGCTATACAGTGTTATAATACCATCATACACGCAGGCTGGTATAAAGTGTAATAACACTACCATATACACAGGCTGTTACACAGTGTAATAACAGAATTATATACTCAGACTTATATACAGTGTAATACCACAATCATATACTCAGACTGTTATACAGTGTAATAACACCATTATATATTCAGACTGTTATACAGTGTAATGTCACTATCATATACTCAGACTGTTATGCAGTGTAATGACACTATCATATACTCAGCCTTATATACAGTGTAATAACACCATCATATTCTCAGACTGTTATACAGTGTAATTACACCATCATATACTCAGACTGTTAACAGTGTAATACCACCATCCTATACTCAGACTGTTATACAGTGCAATAACACCATTATATACTCAGACTGTTATACAGTGCAATAACACCATTATATACTCAGACTATTATACAGTGTAATTACACCATCATATACTCAGACTGTTAACAGTGTAATAACACCATCATATACTCAGACTTATATACAGTGTAATAACACCATCATATACTCAGACTTATATACAGTGTTATAACACCATCATATACTCAGACTGTTATACAGTGTAATAACACCATCATATACTCAGACTGTTGTACAGTGTAATAACACTATCATATACTCAGACTGTTATACAGTGTTATGACACCATTATATACTCAGGCTGTTATTCAGTGTAATGACACCATTATATATACTCAGGCTGTAATACAGTGTAATGACACCATCATATACTCAGACTGTTATACAGTGTAATGACACCATCATATACTCAGACTGTTATACAGTGTAATAACATCATTATATACTCAGACTGTTATACAGTGTAATAACACTATCATATACTCAGACTGTTATACAGCGTTATGACACCATTATATACTCAGGCTGTTATACAGTGTAATAACACTATCATATACTCAGACTGTTATACAGTGTTATGACACCATTATATACTCAGGCTGTTATACAGTGTAATGACACCATTATATATACTCAGGCTGTAATACAGTGTAATGACACCATTATATACTCAGACTGTTATACAGTGTAATAACACCATTATATACTCAGGCTGTTATACAGTGTAATGACTCCATTATATATACTCAGGCTGTAATACAGTGTAAGGACACCATTATATACTCAGACTGTTATACAGTGTAATGATACCATTATATACTCAGACTGTTATACAGTGTAATGATACCATTATATACTCAGACTGTTATACAGTGTAATGATACCATTATATACTCAGACTGTTATACAGTGTAATAACACCATCATATAATCAGACTGTTATACAGTGTAATGACACCATTATATACTCAGGCTGTTATACAGGGTAATGACACCATTATATACTCAGACTGTTATACAGTGTAATGATACCATTATATACTCAGACTGTTATACAGTGTAATGATACCATCATATACTCAGGCTGCGTTACAGTGTTATGTCACCAACACTTACTCAGATTTATATATTTGTGTAGCATAATAATACCATTTCATACTCCGGCCTCTATTCACTGTAACGACAACATAACTCGTACCGTCGGACTTTAATAGTATAAAGTAATATGCGTACTCAGAGTGCTATGCAGTGTGATGGTTGACGAGGACGAAGCTATATTTTTATTCACAAAGGAATTATAATATTGTGCAGAACGATAGCAATAGTTTGCCTTTATTAGGCCATGCAATAAACAAAATTATATTCAACCTAATATACGCGGTTAAGTCTATAAAAGTGGTTAAGGCGGCTGACCATCTAGACCACTAGCACTCAACTACTTGGTCCCGTTTCGAGGCCTCCATGGGGCAGACTTCAGGTATTGGGCACAGGTCGGTGTATTTCTTATCTAGTGCTCCGACTTTCAACCACCACCAAAACCTGGCACGTTCTTAAATGATCGTAGCTGTAAATAGGACGTAACACACAAACAAACCAAACCAAACAACTAGGTTAGTGCTGAGCTCTGTAATGAGCACTATCAAAATGTCGGGGGTTACATTCACTTACGATATATACACCCTGAACCTACACCGAGGCACCACATGAATATACTATTGATATCGATCCCCTTATACCACAAGGAATAATGATGCTTTCAATTAGGTCATGATGACGATCCAAAGACAGGCCATAGTCTGCAACACCCTGAGTCTCTTGACACCCTGTGTTGTAGTTGACATTTATCAAAGAAATCACGATATTCAGACCAAGCTCTTAAATATCAAACATATTTCGAAATGAAACACTGCAGTTTGGGGGAGGCAGAAAGCGAATGAGGATGTGGTCAACTGTATCCCCTTACAGTGGTGGAAGTGGAACTGTTGATACCCTCGTCACTGATACCCTCGCTCTGCATCCTCGATATTTAATGGTTACGCTCACTATGTCCTAGTTAAACTGAGGGCTCAGTGTGCAATACCTTGTGGATGAGACGAGAAGACTAGTTTGGTCCTTTGACGTACATCAAAAGAATCTTGCGGTCGCGTAAAGGTAAAAATGACAGGTTTTGAAGTCGGGCGTCGCTCCATTGTAATCTTCAAAAGACAAGTATCAGACTAGTGATTGGTAAGTTTTGTTTACCTGACACCAATCAAATAGCTGGTGCCTTTTTTTTTTGCTGTTGTCTTTTTATATTCCAGAGGTGCAGAGAGCGAAAGTGAGCGTAACCCTTGGATATCGAGAATGCTGTTATAGTTCAAACTAAAAATAAATCATGGCATTGCAGTAACTGAACCAAAACACAGTCTTAGTTGTCACACCTTGACACAATTAGGGTCACGACCGTATCACTTTGACCCAAACAGAAATGGTGTCAATACAGTAAACGAAGACATAAATTACGTCTTTTATGTAACACTCTTTGATCTGGCCATAGCAAAAGTGTTTCACTGCAACAATCGGACTAAGACATAAATGACGTCACTTATGTCTCAGTCCGACATTTTGACCAGGGAAGAAGTGACGTCACTGCTAAAATACATGTTCTTGGGCACATATGAAGTCATTGTTGTAATTTGAAAACTCAAGGGATTGTTGTTATTGTGAGAACAAACGTAAATAAGTATAAACTGCAATACGCATGCAATTGTCAAGGACCACTTCATGATCCACTGCGCATGCTCACTGGGTGAATATGTTACCTCGACAGTGAGGCTTCCGTTTCGATGGTAGATTCACTATCAACAGTTGTACGACCAAAGGTTTTATGATCTTTAAGTCGTTGTATGACCTTTAACAGGGTAAGGCATTCGCCCTGTGTTGGAAGTCTCCTGTCCCGGGCCGGAATCGGAGAGAGTCTTACGTTTTTCGAAACCAAACATTAAAATAAACATATGTATACATTGGTGTAGCCAAAAATCTCTAGCATTTTTTGTGTCTTTATTATGTATACAACTATTCACAAACAAATAATATAAATAGTATACATATATTTGTGATATATTATATGTCTATGTTCAATATTCCTTCAACCAGATGAATTGTGAATGTTAGATTCATACTAGCTATATTACAATTATGTCAAACTTCAAATAAATTCAATACATTTATATTTTTGAATAACCTTTCTTGAAATAAGTGATGTGATAAGCCAAGATACAATGCTGCATGTAATGAGACAACTCTCAGGTTAATGGAGAGTTACCCCCCTTGTATGCAACGTTATATCTACGGCTCGTGTTTTAATATTTACCGCCTTATCAGTGACTTTCACTGATAACCATACGAATGTATAGAAAGAAGCGAATAAGACAAGAACCATTATAATGCATTACATAGTGGACAGTGCTGAAACATGTTTCTCGATTGTCACAATTTCATTGCAAACACGTCATTTGAAAAGACCGAAGAAATCATCAAGAAACAAACGACAATAAGTTGATATATGAACTCGAAAATGTATTTGTATTGAGTACCATTCGTAAACCGTCGGCATTTTCCGTACATGATTCTCGGAAAGTGCTGACTATTCTCGATTGATTGAGTACTACAAGCTGTGTTATTACAGATGTAGAGAGAAAAAACACCAGACATATAATGCTAATAGGAAAAAGTCTAAGATATAATGCTAATAGGAAAACATCTAAGATATAATGCTAATAGGAAAACGTCTAAGATATAATGCTAATAGGAAAACGTCTAAGATATAATGCTAATGAACACTGCTAGGTGTTTTAGTTGTCGTAGAAATAGATCCAGTAATTTGCCTTACCTGTCTGTTTCTATATCGTCACTTTCTGATTTATCGCCCTCGTGAGCGGTAATTTCTTCTCTCAATTTTCCCTCAGATATCCCGCCCTTACTATCCCTAAAGACTTCCCTGAACTGTCGTTCTGATTTCATACGCCTTACAACCTCTTGAAAAGATATGCATTGCTCCTCACTGGGAAGATGTCGCCTGATGGGTTTCTCGGAGGAAATTCTTCAAAATGTCAAAGGAAAGCAGTACCACTTAATGATCAAATCCAATAACACTATTTCAACAACAACAACAAAAACTGCTGCAACATGAGAGTCAGTAAATGGTGTATGATAGACTCCACATTGCACTGTGAACAGTGAACAGCACTCCACTCAAAGGATCATGTTCTATTACCATCAATACACGTATCAATACATTTGCACCGGTAGTCGAGCGGTAGTCAAAGAAACACAGAATGGACGTTATCTATAAAGAGTCAGTGGACTGGATATAACACATCGACATGATTATATATTTAGTCCTTTCATCAATTATTGTAAGGTAAAAGGGAAAGTTTGGAATCCTTTATCAGAAGTAGAAATAAGCCTTTCAAACGAAACCAGCATCGATTCCGGAACATTGATCGACAAAAAAGCGTAGTGGTACCAAATCCCATTACATTGACAACTAGATACACTATATTTTTCGCTTGATAAAATCGTTAAGAGTTTGAATTAAATACAAAATTGTACATTTAAATGCATCTGTGCTCAAAATTTGATAACATATGCTCTAATAAATGTACGATTCCATTTCTAATGTATATTCTTAAGTATTATTTTCATTTGTATGATACACTCTTCAACATCTAAATCGTATATGTACCTGATTTGACGATTTATTTTAAAATGTGTGAAATTGTTTTTATCAGCTTTGAAACAATGTACCCCAACATAAACATCCCTGCTTCAGTACCAATTTCGGATGTTGAACTATTGAATCAAATTATTGTATTTATTTACTACAAGTACTAAGCTCAGACCGATTAAGCTAGTCCGTCTTTGTGTATTGCAGAGTTATCCTCTCTTGGGAGCAGGTATTGATTGTTACGTCATTGGTTTGTATGAGAAAATTACGTCGTTTTCTCAAAAATTGATGACGTTACCCTCACAAACAAGTGACGTAAATCAATATCTGCTCCCAAGAGAAGGCATCTCTGCAATACGCAAAGACGGAATAGTGCAATTATCACTATAAGAGGCAGTAATGCCGCTCGAAGATGACCTTAACTGACACACACAAGTTAAACCAACAAACACGTGAAATATAATGATCAAACATAGATCAGATGTAAATATTAAAGTGATCATTTCATACGAGTGCTAAAGAAATATCAAAGAAGAAAAATTGACAGGTGCGTGCAGACACTTATTCATACCGAGATTAGGAAAACTCAACGGAGGATTACAAAAAAGCATGGGAGGGTAACGACAGCTTAAATTGTGTTTAAAGCAGAATCTTCTGGGTTTTCGGTCAATATAGCACACACTACAAATATCTGAAGCTTTTAACACGCACACTATAATCCCATATAGAAGTCTTTACGAAAGGTCAACTCAGACTGATGCGACACCAAAACAAAACGAAAGACAACCTTCCTTTACTTTCATAACATAAACACATGGCTAACAATAAATATTGAAACATACAGTTGGCCATAATCTTCTCCAAGACAGTATACAATATACCCAATACCCGATCACGTTTGTAGTAATTGAATATCAAAGCATTACGACTCACTGTGTTGAACTTTTATCTTTATTTCTCTGTAAACTGAGTTTATTTAGAATCGGACTTGTTCATCCCATTTTCATTCGAGTAAGGAATCACAAGTTAAGATCATTAACACATTGCAAACATTTCTATCCTTCCTTAAAAGAACAAGTTGATAGTAATTTGTGTATTTTAGAACTAAACTGTGCGATATATTGACTGTTTTAGTTATAAATTGGAGTGACTAGGCGAAGTCTTACCTGGGGAGAGTAGGACCTATATCTTTACTTATCATTTCACTCTGGCACAGTCTCTCCCTCTTCATGCGCTGGATCGCCTGACGAAACGACAGACCCTCCTCCCGATCTGGTAGCTCCATCCTTTTATGTTTAGCTACGGATGTTGACATTACAACTGTGATGTCATCTACTGATTGAAATTCATCAGTAAGTGTGAGTTCAACAAATCGGTTAAGAATATCAAGAATTCGAAATTGTGATATTATGGCTAGTTAATGCACGGAATAATGCTAAATCGAAAATGTTCGGGTTTTTTTTCTATTTTTGTTTTTCAATTTATGAATCGAGTTATGTAAATTATGCATCTGATGTATAATTATATTGCTAGTTATTATTTTATCATTTGTTGAAAAATCTAAGAAGAACAATCTGTCAGATAAACCTGTTTTGCAACAGTAAAAGATGAAAGTCGGTTTTCGACAAATCTGGTTTACACAAGTATCTATTGACCTTACTGACATTTTTCTTTTCATATTATTTAAAAGTTACTACTCAATCAAACTTATTTAAGGTGTATTCACTTATTTTCCGCGAGCAATTAAACTGACGTTAAAGGATTTGACTGAATCAAACTATGTTTGCTAATACTTATTTACTTTACTATTAGAACTTCTATAGTTCTATCTTTAACAATAAAGTATTTACAATATTGAAAACAATTACGCTTTAGAAAATCAATTCAAATCATCTTAAACTAAAATAAGACAACCTAGTGTTGAGTTACAGAAAACTCCAAATTCGAGGTCTACCTACAATAAGTTATAAATAGGCATGCAAGCACACACTAAAGTCTGAGTCTGGATTTTCATGCAGCGTCAAGAACATCGATCAAATGCTTTCGTTCAGAGCCAGGAAAAACATACATCTATGTATCATACCAGGAGAGTCGTCCACTAATCTGATTGGTAGCTACAATTTAGGAGAGGACATGTCCGCATTTAAAAGTTTAGAGGTCACTGAGTGGTTGAAAAACAAGGAAATAGTTTTAATATCCAGAATCTTAACTATTCTACATAATGTAAGGCCCCAGGTGCAATGCCTATACATCCATTTCAGCTGATGTACAGTAAGATATTTACAGTGTAAAGTGATCAGGTTTGGTATGGCATTTTAATATTTACTTCAATGTTTACTCACAGCGCAGCTGACTAAAATACAAACGTTAGCTACTTTATCGATGTATACATGTATATCAATATATTTTTAACGTCATTTTTTTCATCTGCGGAACTTAATCCGTTGTTATGGAGGAAATCATGATATTGAGTTTTGACCAATCACGGAAGCCTATAGTAAATCAACACTGGTATGATACACATGTACACTACATGCAAGTTATAATTAGATTTATCATTAAATTTATCATTAAATTTATCATGCATGCGTTAACTGCGTAAGTGTGTTGAAATTGTCATTGTGAACATTATAACTGACCCTTGTTGACCTTTGACCTATGTTCCGACCTCTACAATATAACGTCCTTAAACCTTACCGTGATAGTTCGAACTCATTTTATTTCCCTGACTTTTTCTTTTTGATTTTGAATATCATTTTTTTTACATGTTAAACTATCTATTTAACTATATTGATTTTTTAATGGTAAAGCGTGTTTTTTTGTTTTTTTTTAATTCACAAAATGTGTATAAATCGTCGTTTACGCAAGTTGGTTAAAGGTAGCTTCCAAATGACGAAGCAGTTACATGTATAATAATGGTGTATATAGATGTACGCAGATTTTTATTTTGATTGGAGATTTCTTTTTGATACGGTTTTATCTTTAAGTTAAATACATTTAATTTCAATTTACCTGTAGTGGAGTTCCGAATGTCCAAGTTCGTGCTACCAAAGTGCTTTTGAATATTATTGAAATTGCACAAGCTGTCGTTTTTAGGCAACATAAACTTCACGATTCAAAACCGTATGTAAGATGCACAACAATATGTTCCCAAGTAAACTGCGGTAAATACAACTGGACTGTGCTTCACAACTGCAGGCTATGAAGGTCTCCGGAAAAAGGAACAAAATACCACGTTCCATTTAGACCATGTTTGTCAATATAATTCACATTTTAAGCGCACGAGATGTATGGTCTCAAGGCACACTGCTCGATGCACTTAAACTTTCCTGTTAGATTGTTAGAACTTGAAATCCCCGAAAATTTAGAAAACCATATATAAAACAATGTTCCAGTTATAATTGTTTCAAATGCTTACACAAAAAGAGACACGAATTTGACTCTTGTGTATAGAACATCGAGCCTTTCCACTTAAATGGCTCTCCATCCGTCATTGATATCGGAGCATGTGCAAATGGCGTACATGTTTGTCGAAATACATAGTTATTATAAATGATGACAATTCGATTCGCGATATCTGAAGTATTGCCTTTGAAATGTTGGGGATTTGGACGAATACGCGTTCAATTAAAACTATTACAAATCAGCTATTTGGTACGTCGACATCTGCAGCATCAATGAAGAACACCCCTCACCATCTTAAATGGTTCCCGCAGAATGTGCAGTTCCGTTACAAAAACATGTTTTAGAATAATAAACATATTGACTGTTTCGCCTCTTGTTCCATGCGCAACAGATCACAAACATATAGCCGACTAGTTGTCCCTTTCCAGTAACCCAAGGCACACAGTAATCACACAAACAAACACCAAACACTGTTGTTGAAAACGTTTCAATGTATGTTTGTCATAAGTTCCATGCTATAGTCCCCTGTATTGAAGTACTGTTCCAATTGAAAAGTCCTTATTGACCAGTGTATATTCAATTACGTATTCGCACGCCGTTTCAAACTTTCATTTACACCAACAGCAATCAGGTATATATCTTAGGCTGTATTTCAGCCTTACCTATAGTTGACAGTAATTGGTTTTAGCGATTGTGTGTCATTCCAATCCCACGCCCGTAACGTTATTGACAACGCATTAGTTCTTCATTAAATAATTCACTCGGTAATCACGTTGAGATGATTCTCAGTAAGATCGTGTGTACAATGTCAGGGTGATCACGGGAAGGTATAGTCAACTTTGTCAACACCACAGATAAAACTGCCAGAATGTCTTCCTCAGTCGAGATGACACGAGTTTTGTTTTTCTTTGTATGTGTTTAACTGTAGATGGTATATTGTATTTAACGGAGACAATTTGAGCGGATATCGACCGACATTTCTGGATATTTCTCACGGGAGAAAATTTTCACACATGGTAAACACAATGTACCTTTTATGTACAGATAATCGACGTACACAGCTTTAATGCTATATACAGTATTGTTAATTCCCCTCCAGGTCAAATCCAGTACAGCTTCCTTTATGCTAGTTTGAAATGAAATCCAGCGTAGTAGATCTTCTCCGTCATGCATGTATACAAATATCATGCAATCTTAAAATGCTACCACTTTAAATCGCACATAACACACTCTTTAAACTGAACTATTTGAATTGAACTCGTATCGTCTATTTTACAATATAATAAACGGATATCGAAACTAACGGGATCAGGTTTGATTCAAATCAAGTGTTAACATCCTTTTAACACAAACATGGTCAGAACCACCTCTTGACTTTCTGGACAAGATCGTAATTTGATTGGTTTTTGTTCTTAATTTTTCTTATTACTTCAATGTCTCATAAATGCACATATACTGCACATGTCCTTTTGTTCTTGACTAACAAATACTGTCAATGATTGCGAACATATATCGTCCTAAGCGGCGAACACATACCGTCCTAATCGGCGAACACATACTGTTCTAAACTGTGAACAAATACCGTCCTAAGCGACGAACACATACCGTCCTAGGCTGTGAACACATATCGTCCTAAGCTGTGAACACATATCGTCCTAAGCGGCGAACACATACCGTCCTAATCGGCAAACACATACTGTTCTAAGCTGTGAACATATACCGTCCTAAGCGACGAACACATACCGTCCCAAGCTGTGAACATATACCGTCCTAAGCGGCGAACACATACCGTCCTAGGCTGCGAACACATATTGTCCTAAGCTGCGAAGACTGACAGAAATTCTTTTCGAAAATAATTTAATTTCCACCATAAGAATCAATGTAGATTAACTTGATTCACATCACATGATTTGATGAAGCATACATCACAAATCGATGGGAAATCTGATCGAATTTTTGTTATCGATCAGGAGACAAGCGTCGATATAACCTCAATGAAAGGTAAATTAATAGCTGCTAATCGTTCTCCGATATCTACCATCAGATCAGGGTCACGTCATTGTTTGTAACATATAAACCGTTAATGTTCGGTGTGTTAAGAGTTATTGTGATACAGTCACTGAAGACCTTTTACGATATCATCTATAGATCACAAGGAAAGTGAAAATATTTGACACCACAAAACGAGTTCAATATATGATTCCATAGTACTGATCGAACTTATTGGAAGCAGTTCATAACAAAATCTCACCACAAATCGCGAACGATTGGATCAAAATATTATAAATATGATCCCACTATCGCGTATCCAAACATTGTCGACTGGTATCAGAATTCACAGATCAATTCACACGGGCTTTTTGGACAACCTATTCCGGATTTGCCAGTCCGGGCACCTGTTAGAGTTAAGATGTTACCTGATTCCTATAATCACCCGTGAATCTGACCTTTCGGAAAAAGCTGAGTTATAAATCTTCGTAGATCAGAATCAGTCTTTAAGATCCCTTCAAGATTTAAAATGTCCTTGATGTTTATCGCCAGAGCGCTGTTTGTATGTTCAGGGGTTTTAACTTGCCCCCCTTTAGACGACTGTATATACAAGAATTGAAAATCACCCTAATCATATGCGTCAATATTGTGAAGGCTAGGAATTTGTCACGCGAGAAATTTATGATAATAATATAAGAAACCTTGCAATAACCACAATGGTAAAACATACTACTGACTCGTTGTGATAAATCCAAATATATTTTTTCTATACAGGTATGTTATTGAAATGTAAATGTGAAATCGAATTTTAATCTCTGCTCTACGTCCTGTATGTGTCTATACACATATCAAAGCTACATGTATGGCAGGTGTACGCATTACATTAAAAGGAACACAATTTTAGAAATAATTAAATGCAGAACAAGCATTTATCACGGTATTCCATTTTATAAATTACATATTTTTTTTTAACAAATAACAATCCTATGATATCCAAATTATCTTTGACTGAACCAACGTTTTCTAAACAACTTTCATTTTAACTAAATGTGCAACGTCTTATGTCAAATCCATTTAAAAATAATCTGAAGAATGAGGTAGCTCTTTCATTTAGTTTTAAACCTATTACACTGTCTTGCCTGACTGGTGTGTATTTATATTTGACATAATTTAATCAATTTAACTTGTGCATTATTTCTAACCCTTGTTAAATGTTGGCAGCGTTCTGTCCAATAAACCATTACACCAAATAAAACCGATATATCTACTCAAGTGTTTCTTAATTATAAACCTGGCGATACTTAACCTCTCTAATCGTTTGGGTTGTTTATACTTTATGTCTTACATTTGTATGTATAACCGGCTTGATCATTTAAGGGCAAGCCAGGTTTTAGGGTGGATGAAAACCGGAGTACTCAGAGGAAACCACCGACCTGCGGAAAATAGCTGGCAACTGCCCCACGAAGGCCTCGACTCCGTGACCCAGTGGTGGAGGGTCTGTGATCGCAGACGGTCAACCGTTTTAACCTTTCAATCGTCATTGACATTGCAATTTTTTACCCCTTTTGATTTTTTTTTATATGTATTCATTCCTTCATTTGTTCATTCATCTATCCATTCATTCATAATTTAACACGTAATTCACAAAATGGATCTCATTGATCGGACATTTACTATCTACAACATTTTCTACTTGTGTTTAATGGGTGAATATGCAGTGTTCATAGTTACTATAATGTTTAACATTTGTATACTAGAGGTACATGATGTTGTATACAAATATTAAACACGTTATTAATCTAACAACAACTTATTAAGTGCGTGTACCTTTCAGCTGATTGCTTCTTGGATTTTCCGATCATGTGTTATAATAGTTTTAAGGTAGTGTCTATCGTTGATGACAACGTAAACTACATTTATGTCACAAACAGACAGATAAAACAAACACGTCCCCGATGTATGTGATCTGTATTAAACTAGTTTTAACAGGTATCATATATTTGCCATCACACATGTGTCAGCTTAAAATGAAGTAAGTAAGCCATTTTGTCAACAATTTGACCAGAAAAAAAACCGAAAAACGTCATTATGTATTCTATTTTGTTTACAACATATACAAAGATAGCTGTGATACTTTGATTTTACATGAAGTAACAGTTTCAATAAATAATAAAAAAAAAATAGAAAAATAATATCCAAACTGTTCTTCGTTCCATATTGGACAGCGTGTCTTCTGTTCAAGACAGGTCAACAAGTGAAATAGAAATAACAATAAAACGTTAGATACTATCTACAGTGTAGCACACTCCATTCAGAGTCATTATGCTAGATTTAATCAATTACAGCATCTAATGTAAATAATTGACGCGAAAGTACTGTTATAATTGTTACTAGGCTGATATCCTGGTAACTATCGCACTAACACATCAGAAAGAGCCTAGACCGGAAGTCGTCCATCATGTAATTTCCGGTTGTCGTTGTTTATTAGTATTCGGTGTCGGTCACAGATGTTTGGTAAAATGAAGGTGTAAAAGTCTACACGTACGATCGGAAAGGTCGCAGGATAGCATCTGTCGAAATACATGGCAGGCTGTGACCACGTGAGACTTTCTGCCGGAACTATCTAAATGTTCATGTGCATTTAGTAATTAACCTTACGAAGTCAAAACGAGGTTTATAATCTTCATTTACGGGAAAAACTGCCGCTCTGCTGATGTATGGACACCAACAGGAGGGATGAACGCCATTGAACGATAACAATAGGAAAAAAACCTGACACCGATGGCTGTTGTACAGCAATATCGGACGGACGAATGGACAACCACGTGATGTTGTATGGCAATGTCGGACGGACGAACAGATACACTACGATATGTTGTATAGCATCGTCAGACGGACGGACAACAACGGGAAGTTATTTGACAGTGTCGGACGGACGGATGTGATGTTGTATGGCAATGTCGGACAGACAGACAGACAGACATGTTGTGTTGTATGACAATGTAAGACGGGCGGAATATCGCGTGATTTTTCTTATACTATAACATATAACCGTCAATTACTTAAGAAATCACTTACTTTTTTTTTTTTTTTTTTTTTTTTTTTTTTTTTTAAATTGCTAACATTACTGTTTTGAAAATGANGAACTTAAAGAACGTCGTCACGAACTTTGACCCAATGGCGTCTACATATATACAAGTACAATACAATTCAGTGACAATACCTCCTCGAGCGTTAGGTATGGATAAGCTTCAAATACACCGAAAGCTTAAAATAGAAAGAAATAACACGTGTTAAATGCTCACAGTCAGAACAATACACAATCGCATTCAAAATCAAACTCATAAAGCATACACATAAGTGTTAACTTCAAAAAAATATTCCACTTTATCTTTCTATCAAAATATTTCAAAATTGCTGAAAACTTCATGATATAACGGTGTTATACAATAACTAATTTGCTTTTCATCTTTTATTTGTCAAAACAAAAAACTTATTCCGTTTGAAGTTCTAGCAAAAACATACTTTTCTTTGTACAATGTAGTTCTTATAATCAAACGTGTCTGTTACTATTCCGTTTGAAGTTATAACCACCAAATTCATTTCTTTTAAAGTTCTAACTAACAAACGAACGTTTTTTTATTAAGGATTTTTAACAATCAAATTTCTTTTGCTAAAAAACAGTAAACAAGTGTACTTCAGTTTCAGTTAAAACCTCACCCATAAACGACAAGGGTAAATACTTTAAGTTATTTCACACAATTGTATAAAGCGTAATGATCAAATCGCAGACACACACTTCAAATCATGTCAATACAAATACAAACTATATATCAACCGTAACGTCATTAGTTGTATTATCGCAATTAACATGTTCAAAATATCACTCCCTCCTAAAAATCTCACTGAGAAGAAAATTGTGCCAAGGATATGTGTCAAATCTCTGACTCAGACACAAACACGCTTTCTCGGATTACTTAAATAATTTGCCTGAGATGCCGTCATAACCTTGACACAGGGATTAGTGAGTGGAAAAGCGATATATATAACATGCCGGGTGAGTATTTCCTATCACCACTTTTATCACACTGTCACTATACCGTAAGAGTGTCTGTTTGTCCTTTGACCCCAGGGACACTGGCAGCCAGTTCACCCTTTGAAGGTAAAAAAAGTTCACATGATATACACAAGGAAACAATTACATCTTAAAACGTTCAACGATCAGCAGCTAAAAGGCGTTAAAATAGAGAAACCGTGAAAACGTAAGATAAAATAAATCAGTGAAAATAAATAGGGCAATAAAATACCATTAGAACGTACAAAGATCAACAGCGCTGAAGTAATAGCATAAACAAATAAGATATACACGGGTAAAGTACACGGCTAAATACATCTCACTCGAGCTAATTATTTATGTTTAAATTAGAGAACAAACATGTATTTATAGTATCCTTCCTCGGAACAAACATACTGTATACAGGGAATTTTCCGCCTCCAGCTAAAGTTTCGCCAGTTTCGCCTTTTTCGCCCTCAGCAATGAGGAGAATTTATCATGATAAGGAATATTAGTACACAACCAACTTCACATAATGATTACATGTGAAGGGCGAAAAGTACACTGGGCGATAATGGATTTCAAAAGTTAAGAACGAATATATGCCTGAGCGAAATTTTGTTTTAATATATATTTACATGTCATATATGTGCGAGTAAGAGCAAACCGTTTAGAGGAAAGAAATAAGAAATATAATCAGAAATATGATAAGAAATATGATAATCACTAACACAATAGTGCTAATAGCAGATAACCTTTTCTCCTTGAAAAACACGATTTTGTTTCAAAGAGCCGTTTTGTCGTGATTTTGTACACTGATTGTGACTTGACGAAAATAAATATGTTGCAACGGAACGATGATGTTGTGAGGGGATTATTCATGCTACAAGGTATTTAAGCAGAGATTGAAATCATGTGTTTGCATAAAGGACATTTCTTGTGTATGCATACACGTTATGAAGGTAAAACCCCGCACACTTCGATGATGGAAACCGTATGCATCTTATTCTTTAAAGACTAAATGCAACCAGACTGTGGCAATCAACGCATACACTTGCTGTTGTATTCATCAGTGAAGAGAACATTGATCCCAACGTATTATAGAAAAACGTCACGACAATATGTCCTCGCCATCGCATACAACGTGCTTGGCGTTGTATAGCTATGGATATTTAATTCAAAATACTTCACAATTTACATGTTTCAAGTTGCGTCTCTTTTTCGCATATAATATAGTTGAAGAGCATACACAACTATTGCATTCGTAGCAACTCGTAGACACATCGAAGAATAAAGAACCCTAGTACACCACAAAACCATTATCTACCACACCAGTCATGCTCCTCTAGAAACACAAAATAGCGAAAGTTATTTAATCTGTAGCATGGTCACTTTATCATCTTTATCAAAAATGTAACCAGTAATGTTTCACAGTTAAAAACATCCCGAAATGTCCTTATAAACCTTGATTGCCTGGCTTATCAGTAACGCTTTATATATAGAACTTCC